CGACCCTTTCACGGGGGTTGCCTAAGACCATCCTGCATATCAGATATTTACATTACGATTCCTAAGAGTAGCAACATTAATAATTTTATGGTTGGGTCACAACATGAGGAACTGTATTTAAAGGGCCAGAAGGTTGAGAACCACTGCTTGTGCTATGGTTAAGGTGACTGTGTAATTTATTGTCGAAACTAGGACACTTTTTTAAAAAATTCACTCTTCTTATTTTATTTTTTTTGTTAATCCTCACCTGAGGATATTTTTCCATTGGTTATTTATTTATTTTTAAAAATATATTTCTTTATTGATTTCAGAGAGGAAGGGAGAAGGAGAGAAAGACAGAAACACCAATGATGAGAGAGAATCATTAATCGGCTGCCTCCTGCACACCCCCTACTGGGGATCGAGCCTGCAACCCAGGCATGTATCCTTGGCCGGAATCGACCCGGGGACCCTTCAGTCTGCAAGCTGATGCTCTATCCACTGAGCCAAGCTGGCTAGGGCTCCATTGATTTTTAAAGAGAATGGAAGTGAGGGCGAGAGACACACAGAGAGAAACATCGATGTGAGAGAGACACATAGATTGGTTGCCTCCCGCATGCACCCCAATCAGGGCCAGGGATCAAGGATCAACTGAGGTACATGCACTTGATCGGAATCGAACTTGAGACCCTTTGGTCCGCAGGCTGACACTCTATCCACTGAGTCAAACTGGCAAGGGCTAAACTAGGACACTTTTGAAGCAAGAGTGGACACTATTAATAATGACATTAGAACAAAAGGCATAAACCAAGATTTCTTGGCCAAACTGGGATGTCTGGTTCTCAAGTGAGGAGTCCGGCTGATAGACTGAAGAAAAGGACCATACCTTATTTGTCTGGGTATCCCCATTATCTCACCAGAGACGATGGATTGTAGGTGTTTAATGCATTTGTTTGTTGAATGGATGGCCCGGGAGTAGGGAGTGCCAACAGTCTTTTCGAGGGCTCACAAGATGCTAAGGGGGGAGAGTTTCTAGCAGCGCAGCCTTTCACCTCTGACCCCCATCATTATCTATAATATCTGGGCCTTTCTTACAGGTATCCCCTTTGTGTGCTGTGTGCTTCGACCTTTGTATCCTAAGCTTCGGATCATTTTCACAATGCTTGGTTGAGACCCACCAGGCTGAACCCTGGGAAGGTACTGGCCTTCCTCCTCCGTCCTCCTTCTGGTCAGGGGCTGGGAGTGCCTATGGTCAGCATGGGTGCTGGTGACAAAGCAGTTCCAGAGGCCTCAGAGCTTGTAATTTGACTTCCACGCGTCCTCTTCCCCTTCCCTAGCAGGCTCTCGTTACATAGTCCCCATCTGCAGGGCTGCCTGGGTGGTACCCTGAGCACCTCAGTTTCCCCATCTTTAGGGCCCCTGGGTAAAGATGCTAAGTGAGTACAGAGGGAGCTTTATCAAGGCTGAGACCTAGCCTACGTAATTAGCCTGCTTAAAGCCTCCCACGTCTCTAATTATTGTTATGATAGATATGCCCACTCAGCCAGGCATTCCTATCCCCCCCCCACCCACTCCTTTTCAGAATTCCCCACCTCCTGGATAGCAGGAGGGAACCCCTACCTCACTGGCCTTACTCTAGGGACCACCTCCCTCAACCCCAAAGCTGTGTGGGCAGCACTGCCAGGAGGGAAGATGCCCTCGGCCTCCGCCTCCCGATCTATAAAGTGAGGGGGTTGTACAGATGATCTCTGAGTTATTTGATGCTGACATTGCACATCCTCACCCCACACTGCGATTCTGGCTGGGCTCAGCACAGCCCCCCTCCCCCCCGGAATATGTGGGGGGACCCTAAGTCCAATCCCTTCTCTCCTTTCCCTGTCTTCTCTCCTTTTTCTTGAATTGTACATGGGAACCCAGAATCCTGGGCAGATGTTTATCCAGGGCTGGCCCTTCCCTAGCCTCGCTGCCTCCGGAGATAAAAGGCCAGGGACAAGTAGAGGCCCGGCCACACTTCCTGGGTTTGTTGCAGGTCTGGCCCCGGCCCATCCTGGGTTCAAACCTGATCCTCAGAGGCTCGAGCAAGGAACTGAGATGGGACAGGCTGGGCCTGCCTGCCTGTTCCGCGTTGATACCCTGGGTGTGTGACTTCACCTCTAGCTCCATCCCTGACTTCTTCGCTATGTGACCTTGAGCAAGTCACTTACCTTTTCTCTGTGCCAGCTTCCCTGGAGAAGTGTCATGGGGACAGATGTGGAAGCCACCCCATGTCTACGAAGTCAAATTCAGATACCATTTGTCTGTTGAACTTCTTAGTCGTGGCAGCTGAAAGTCCCTCCCCAGGGCTCTGTGAATATTTTATTCAATGGACTTTATTGGTTGCATCCACTTGATTTTCCTCCACTGATTGTTTTTGACATCATCCAGACTTTTGAGGTTAGCAAGGCACTACAACTCAACTCAAAACGGATTTTTGTGTTACAGCTCGGCCAATAGGGCTGATTCAATTCCTAGTTAGGGTACGTGCCCGGGTTGTGGGGTCGGGGGGGAGTGGAGGGTGTGTGTGCAGGAGGAAGATGATCAATGATTCTTTCTCATTATTGATGTTTCTATCTCTCTCTCCCTTTCCCTTCCTCTCTTAAATCAATTAAAAAACACACACACAAACATTAAAAAGAAGTGTGTCACAGAATGGAGAAGACTAAAAAAATAAATAACTAGACGCAATGGGATCCTGGATAGGATACTGGAACAGAAAGAGGACTCCAGGGGAAAAACTGATGAGATTAAAATAAGGTCTGTGGTTTAGTTAATAATCATGTACCAATGTTCACTTCTTGTTTTTGATCATTGTACTACGATAAAGTAAGATGTTAACATCAGGAAAAGATGGGCGGTACATATACCTCTGTATTATTATTGCAAATTTTCTCTAAGTCTAAAATTGTCCCAAATAAAAAGTAGGGGAAACCCACAAATTAAGGCTCACCACTTAAATACAAAAGTGGGGGAGGGGCTTCTTGGTCTATGTAACTGAAAAGGGCAGGGGTTTATGGGCCACGGGCACAGCAGGACCCAGGTGGCCTAATTCTTAGGAGCTGTCACCATCTCAGCTGGTTCTGCTTCTTTGGTGGAGCTTCCTATTCAGGCAGCCCTAGCCCTTGTGGTGGCAAACAGTCTGTCAGACCTTCCAGCTGGTATTCTGCCATTTTAGCCACCCAAGAGTTTTCGTTCCCTCCTAGATCCCTTGGTGTGTTGAATGAATGGTTCCAGTAAAAGTCTTGAGAGTAATGCTCATTGGCTCAGATTGAGTCACCTGCCCTTCTCCAACCCAATCATTGTGACCTACCTTACCTCAGTCACCTGTGTGAGGTCAGCCCCTCCCACCCCCAACACATAGACTGTGATGGGAGAAGGGCTGGCACCCAAAAGGAAGCAATGAGTCCTGTTATCAGAAGGGCCGCAGGCAGAACTATGATGTCCCCGGCAGCCTTAGAATGCAGAGCTGCTGCCCTTTCTCCTAGAGCAGCGATTTCCCACCTTTTTCATCTCATAGCTCACGTAAATGATAGATCCTCCCTTCCCCCAACTGGTGGGCGGAGTATAGTGACTAACCAGGTACCTTATATGGACTATACATTGGACCACCAATCCACACCTGCCCAATACCCTAAGCCCTTGTCCTATATGGACGATGCAGTAAGCCACCAATCAGTGTGCGCCGAGTACACTAAGCCCCCACCCCTTCCCATTCTGCCCCTCAAAAGGCGTTCTCACCCCTGCACGTGCTTGCGAGACAGCCCAGCAGGTCCTTCTCCCCTAATAAAGCCTGTAGTCCTGGTTTTCGGCCTCTGTCTGATTTTTCAGTAAACTAATTACTAAAATGCTGCAGCCCACCAAATGATATTTTGCTGATTTGACAAAAATAGTTATAATTGTGATTCATTCACACTGGATAGCTATTGTTGTGTTGGCTGCTGTCATTTTTTAAATGTTATCATTCCTTAATTTGACAACCTAAGGCAGTGGTTCTCAACCTTCCTAATGCCGCGACCCTTTAATACAGTTCCTCATGTTGTGGTAACCCCCAATTTCATTGTTACGAATTGAACATAATTAAAGCATAGTGATTAATCACAAAAACAGTATGTAACTATATATGTGTTTTCCGATGGTCTTAGGCGACCCCCGTGAAAGGGTCGTTCGACCTCCAAAGGGGTCACAACCCACAGGTTGAGAACTGCTGATCTAAGGGAAAAGAGGTCAGTGCCCCTGGCTAGTCAGGTATTGCACGTTTTAAGAATTCTTGCGGCCCACCAGTGTGCCTGCTGTGACACAGCGGTTGGAAATCGCTGTCCTAGAGCCATCCACAACAGGCCTACACTGAAATGTACAGGCTTGAGTTCTTGTGGATGTTGGGTGTGCTGAGCTGTCAGATTGCAGTCCCAGGATAACCGTCATGAGAGGAGGATAAGAATAGGGCTCCTCCCTGGGATGCTGGCTTCTTGCAGCTGGATCAGATGGGGATGGGTGTCAGGGAGGGGGACCAGCATGGCCAAAGATGCCAGAATACCAGGATTTCTTCTGGGCCAGGACGATGGTCAATTTCAGCCATGGAGCACTTCCAATCCATCCTTCCCAGCCCTGGCCAGGAGCCTCTGACCTAAGGTCTCATTTGTTCATTTGCATTGGGGTGGCATGGAGAGAGAGAGGGACAGGGCTAGCCGAGCATCAGGACATCTCAGATGAGTGGCCTCTACCTTATGTAAGAAATATCTATTGAGCCCGGCCAGCGTGGCTCAGTGGTTGAGCGTCAACTTATGAACCAGGAGGTCACGGTTCAATTCCCAGTCAGGGCACATGCCCAGGTTTCGGGCTCAATCCTGGGGTGTGCAAGTGGCAGCCGATTGGTGATTCTCATCATTGATGTCTCTCTCTCTCTTCCTCTCTCCCCCTTCCTCTCTGAAATCAATAAAAATATATATTAAAAAAAAGGAAATATCTACTGAGGGGACTCCCAAGTCTCAGCTCCCACTCCACTGGCTGACTCCCAAACCACTATCTGCGCCACACCTGTGGGAACAGGGTGGGGTGCCCACAGAGAAGAGGTCCGGCTTATGTATTTTTCAGATATTTTATTAAGAATAAGGCATATGACAGTCACCCCTAAAGCACAGGGCTCTATTTCTGTGGGTGAGTGAATACACTCTGAAAAGCATTGGATTAAAAAGCACAGCCAACAGAGTTTGGAGCAGGAAGCCTCTGCCCTGCCCTGCCCGTCCCCCATCAAGGCTGGCGCCTCAGTGAGCAGGGCTGAGATCCCCGGCTCTCTGCAATGAGATGCTCTTCCACTCCCCTGGTCTCCTTCCTCTCCACAGGGAGGCCTCCATTCTGCGGCTTATTTGGGGAAGGCGCACCCCATTTCAGCCGTGAACTGACTCCCCAAACTGCAGGCCACGGCGGGGAGGAGATGGGGAGGCAGGGGTACAGATGCTCATTCTGCAGTCCTCCTTCCTGGGCCCCTCCATACTTGGGGAGTGGCTGCAGCTCCAACTAGGGCCCCTGACTGTCCATGTCAACACGCTCCTCCCCCAGGAAGGAAGAGGGGAGAAGACAGGATCCTTTCCCTTCTAGTCACCTAGGCATTCCAGGGGTTGGCGGGAGGGGGTCTTCCTTTGGCAGGGTGGGTCCCCCAGGCTAGAGGATGGGGAGGACCAGAAGCCAAGGGTAGGGCCTCTCCCAGGCCCCAAGGCTGAGCTTTGGCGCCTTGAAGCCAAGGGCAGGCCGCCGATTCTAGTCCCACTCTGCTGCCCTGAGGGTTCTGTTCCAAACCCAGGGCAGGGCCGAGGGGTGGAGGGAAGTCTCTAGCCCAGGAGAGGGAGGGGAAAGGGAATGTGTTAACATTGGAACCCTGTGTCTGCCTCAGCCCCTCCTCCAGCTGGCTGAGTGGAGTGGGAAGGGTTGTCTTATTTCCTTTCCCAGGCTGAGAGTTGAGTCAGCCGCCCCAGCACTCAGAACCTTTCATCTGGGGGATCTCCAAGCACCCCCACAAACAATTAAGTGTCATTATTTCTGCTTGTTAGAAGAGGGACAGGAGTGGGAAGTTGCTGATGGGGGTCCCTTGGGGAGAGGCAGGCAGGTCACCTGAGGATCCCTGGGGGAGGGCTGATAGGGGTCCCCAGATAGACACCTTGGGTTCAGGAGGGAAGGGGGAAGAAGGCTATTGCTATAGAGCTGGAGCGAGTGGGGGGGTGGGGGGGGAGGAGACAGGTGGGAGCTATGGCTTTTAGTGGGTGGATGGACGGACAAAGTATTTCACCATCTCTAGAAGAATCGATGCAACAAAGTCACCCTGTTCACCCCAAAAGCATGGTTGTGGAAGATGGATGTTTGGGGGGGCACCTCCAGAAAGGCACCCTTTCCCTCCTCTCCACAGTCCTCTGGCTCCTGCAAAAGAACCTTTCAAAATAGGCAGTTTCGTTTTCCATGTGAGAAAATCACGGCTCGGAGAATACTAAGCAACTTGCTGTCCATGTCTATTGTTTTAATATCTCCCTTGTAAAACATTACTTCATTAGAAAAAGCTTCTTCCAGAGGCCTGTGATGACAGAAGCAGGCATCTCCCCTAGAGATGAGCTCTGCTCGCCCTGGCTGGTTTAGCTCACTGGCTAGAGCATCGGCCGGGGGACCTACGGGTCCTGGGTTCGATCCCCAGTACGGGGTGTACAGGAGGCAGCTGATCAATGCCTCTCTCATCATTGATGTTTCTCTCTCTCCCTCTCCCTTCCTCTCTGAAATCAGTAAAGATATATTTTAAGAAAAAGATTGGCTCTGCTCTCTCTCATGGCTCCCTGGGTAAACACACACAATGCTGGGCCTCAGGCAGGGCCAGGCTCTGCCAGAATGGGGTGTGAGTGGGGCAAGGCCTCTCCCTGCCACGTGCCTCCCCTCTGCAGTCCCCGGAAGACCTCACAGGCACTTAGGACTGGTGCAGGACCCAGGACAGAGGAAGGATGGCTTGGGGTGGGGGCTCCAGAGGTTTTTCTTTCCAGGCTGGGCTTGGGGTGAGAGCAACGAGCTGGGCTGGAAACTGCCTTTGATCTTGAGCGGGCAGGGGAGACAGGCAGGGCGCAGGGGGGGCATTCCACTCTCTACCGCGCCACTCCCCACCCTAGACAGAAGGACCCTGACGCCACACCACTGCCAGGTCTGATAGCACTGGAGGCCTCCCTGGAGGGGCCGGCTGGGGACTTCCTCCCCAGCAAACCCAAACCTCTATCAACTGCCACTTCCAAGAAGCTGGGCAAAATTAGCACCAATAAAAAGGACCAGGAACCTCCCAGGGCCCAGGGCGCCTCAGGTGCCCAGCTACCTCCTGAAGGCAGTTTCTGCCCCTCCACAGGTCTGGCTGTCCCTCGCTTCCCCAGCACAGCTCTCCGTCTACACCCCTCAGTGGCATCCGGTGGAGGACCACGCTGGAGACAGCGCTAGACTGGGCTCTGCCGCCAAACCCATCCTAATCCTAAGGGTCTGTGGGTGCCGCCTGCCAGAAGTGCAAACTTCCCTCGGCCAAGCGGCCAAGCGTCCCCACCAGAGGCTCTGGGAGGAGGTGTCTTCTAAAGTGTTAGGTGCTCACCTGTACGGACCTACCAGCGGGATCGGGGAGGAGAAGAGGCTCCGAGGAAAAGGTCCAGCCAGTAGCCCCTGAACCCCAGCCTCCCCTAGTTGGAAGGCTTGGAGGGAAGGACAGCCGTGCGGGGCTGGGGAGGCCGCGGGGGTGGGGAGGATGGAGCTGGAAGGCATAGGGGTGGTAAGTGCCACTCGGGTTCCTTACATAGACCAGCCCAGCCTTCCCCCGGGGCCAAACGATTGTCAGCTTTCCGGGACGGGGTGACCCTCGCCCCCTCCCCTCCCAGCGGCAGGGTGGGGACCAGAGGAGGAGCAGTATTGCGAGTCCTGTACAGAGAGGGTGCGCTCGCTGAGCCCCGCGGTGGGGCTCCTTCGCGGGAGGGGAGAGCTCGAAGCTTCGGAAACGTTGGGAAATACAAAAGGCGCGGCGGTTGGAAGGGATGGAGGGAGCGGGACTGCCTCAGCTGGAACCCTGGAACCGGACCGACTTCCTCGCCCTTCCCAACCCCCGGGCCTGTCTGCAAGGCCCG